CAATAATTTAAAATGAAGATCATGTTCCAGTCTACGAGCATTTTTTTCATATTCACCGAGAACACACTAAGCCGAGTGACGTGTGAATACAAGGTGTAGTACGTTCGATAAAAAGTCATTGCAGTCACTTCTACGGCACTCTGATAATTGTATTCGACGAGTGGTGAAACAACTCAATTCATCTCAATGATGTTATACCTAACAAATTGGAATTCACACTACTAAAACATGGTTACTAAAATACATAACCATGAATGAATGAAAGTAACAGTTACTGTAATTTTTCTTAGCAAACAATGTATGTATTCTATAGAGTCACTTGTTATAATACATAATATAAAACTGAATAAATATAGTGTTTTTATTTTATGGGAGAGCGGGTATGAGAGATGTATGTTCGGTGTAATTATGCAAGGTTCTGTTCGATGTGATGAAATAAATTACACATGTTCATTCGGGCAATATCACGATTTGTTGTCTGCCATCGGGCTGTTGCTCTTGACAATAATATTGGCGAGGGCAATATTAATATTATGGTCATAAACAACAGCCAGGAGGCAGGCAACAAATCGTGATAGTGCCCTCAAAAACATGTGTTTTTATTTAAATATATTAACTTTTAGCCGTATTGATGATTTTACTCAGATAGGGTTTGAGTTGTATACACCTAATTTACATATATGCAAATAACACAAAGATTTTCACAACAATACACCTGGTCAGTTCAACAGAATTTTCTTGAAGAAGCCCTAATTTTAGGGCGAAAGTTGGAATAAATATCACAGAACTGACCAGGTGTATTGTTGTGAAAATCTTTGTGTTATTTACATATTATCAACCAGCAATACCAGCTACTGGGGATCGTCTGATCTATTATTGTTGAGTGTATAATTTACATATAAATAGTGCCACAACAAGTACCTTGGTTGCCAGTTACTGATTCAATGACGAGTGACTTTAGTGTATCGCATTATATGTTTTTTTTAACAGTTGTCGCGTTGCTAGCGTTATGTTTCGACAACATATAATAAATGCCCAATTGCGCTCAACAAAGTACAGAGATAGGTTTCAATAATAAATCTGTTTAAAAAAATGGCCCCTGCTTTTTTTACATCGAATGGTAGATCCTTGTCACATGTTATCTCTTCAACAACCACTTTAAATTAATCGGATCATCACTGTCTTGTACAGTCTTACATATGATATGTAAACCTATTATAATCACAGTAAATCAATGCAGTGAAATCAACAAATCACACATTTACAATGGTTTCAACAATGAAATAACACGTGTACATAATGTTTGTGTTCAGAACCGAAATGACATTAACACATTGAATCGTCAAAGTGACGAATGTATGCCGCCATTTTGAATTCATACTGTCTTTGCAGGGTGAGAATTGTGGAAAACAACAAGCTTGAGATTGATAACAACCATAAATACCTGCAGCTAAAGACGCTCCTCGTGAATTGAGGTCAAAGTGCAATCCTTGAAAGAGATTCAATGCTAACAATGCCTGAATATAAATAAGTGTGGGGAAAGAAAGAATTACCCTTGTATGCAAATTCGAATCAATCGTTTACACAAATCACACAATGGGGAGATATTGGAGATATCGCTCACACGAACCAATTTGTTGAAAACAATTTGGATATAAAAAGTATTGAGGACATTGAAAATGATTGCCATTCTCTACTCCATGCATAAATTACCTTTGTGACATGTATTGTATATCACATTTCGTAGTGTTTGTTCAATTGTTAACGCACTTATTTTCAAAATAAAGACATTCAGAAAATGTTTATATCATTAAGAAAAATATCTCAACTATTTTTTTCAAACAATATTTTTATATTATGGCGTAGTGTTAATGTAAACAATTATGTGAATCTTACTGGTGTACCACAAACTATTAGACTGGCATATTGTTTAACCATCTATTTATATAGTTCGTTAATGTCCAGACGGTTCCGAACTTAATTCTGGAGTACGTTATTGACGTTGATATGACGTCAGTCCATGAAGCTTGTTAACACACTTGGATTTTGCTGAGCAGGTATCGTCTCATGTAAGTTTAAGTTGCATCCTCCATTTCTATGATCTGCAGAAAACATCTCACCGCCTCCTGTTCGCATCATAATGGATGTGTACAACATCAACATAATCCTGAAAATGAGTTCAGAAGTCTCTTCTAAAATAAAAAAGTAAAGTGACCATGACTGATTACAGTGGCGACCTTCTGGTCAGCTCTAGTGCTGCACTATTTCAGCATTTGTGGCCAACTGATTTTGAAATGTTTCAAGGTAATAACAATAATTATTGAAACTTGTAATATATAGAATACGCCTGGGAAAGTAACTTCAAGACTCGATACGATTTTCTAAGCTGACGATCACTAC